CACATAAATACCGTGGAATACTATGCAGCCATAAAAAAGAATGAAATCCTGTCGTTTGCAGGGATGTGGATGAAGCTGGAAGCCTCATTCTTAGCAAATTAACATAGAAACACAAAGTGAAACACCGCATGCTCTCACTCATAAGTGAGAGCTGAAAAATGAGAACACATGGACATAGGAAGGGGAACATCCCACATAACACACCGGGGCCTGTCTGGGAGTGGCAGGTAAGGGGAGGGAGAGCACTAGGACAAATACTGAGTGCATGTGGGGCTTAAAACCTAGATGATGGATTGATGGGTGCAGCAAACCACCATGGCACACGTGTACCTAGGTAGCAAACCTGGACGTTCTGAACATCTGTCCCAGAACTTAAAGTAAAATTAAATTTTAAAAAAATTTAGAGTAGAGACTGCTTTATGTTAGCTTTCTACATTCAGAAAAAAAAAAAGAATCAAATGCCCAAGACACACACCGCCTGCGAGCATCTCCCATCCCCACGAGTGCTCCCAAACACTCTGGGCCTTAGTGATGGAAATTATACTCTGCCTGCATCTGTCGCCCTCTATGTCAATGGAGGGGTCAATCTTACTCATTTCTGTGTCCCCAAAAAGCATTTCTTGGTATCCTACTCACAGTAGACACAGATACACGCTTACTAAGTTGAATGTCATGAATTAACATCAGGGCACATGCTTTGAGGAGCTCCTTCCAGACTCGCGAACCTACGCCCAGGGCTTACATTTACCTGGGAAGCAAAGAGAAATCAAAGGAGCCAGGTGAGGCCGGAGCACCGGGCCCAGGCCCCTTATGGTGCCTTGTGGAGGCTGAAGCTGCTGCTCTGTGGTGCATGCTCATCTGTCATGCGGATTTCAGATTAACCCCGGCTCTGGGAAGGCCTCTAAGCTTCCAGTTCCTTGAGTAAGAGCACATACTTACCTTGAGTCCTGACCTTAGGTCTAAACCTTGATGCTATCATACTTTGATGACCTTACACATTGATTCTGAATCTCGCCTTATCTTCCCCTGTGGAGTATGAGCCCTGGATCTGGGGCTAATGGCACAGGATCCACCATCTTGTCTTGTGGCCGCCAGAGACACAGGCATGGCTTCTGTTCCTAAGTGCCAATTAAATGTCTCTTTCTAAGCAGCTGAATCAGTTAGTCTCTTTCTTTGGCCTCTCAGCTCCCTCAGACTTTTGGGAGTAGGCTTGCATAGACCTGCCCACAACAAATCACACCTCCCCCGCCAACCCCAACTAGCTTTGGGGACTTAACAGCTGATGGGGACTCTTCATTAGTCCCTGCTTTGCTGATTCCATGATTAAGGACACAAGCCTTCACCATAAGGCACTAGACACAGGACAAGGGCTTTGGAGTCCACATAATCAGAGTTCAATACCAGCTCTATCTCTTTGTTTTTTCTCGAGATGGAGTTTTGCTTCTGTTGCCCAGGTTGCAGTGCAATTGATGTGATGTTGGCTCACTGCAACGTCGGCCTCCCAGGTTCAGGTGTTTCTCCTGCCTCAACCTCCCAAATACCTGGGACTATAGGCGCGTGCCACCACACCCAGCTAATTTCTTGTATTTTAGTAGTGATGGGTTTTCACAGTGTTAGCGGGGATGGTCTCGATCTCCTGACCTCGTGATCCACTCGCCTCCACCTCCCAAAGTGCGGGGATGACAGGAGTGAGCCACCACACCCAGTCACTAGCTTTTTTTTTTTTTTTTATTATTTTTTTTATTTTTTATAAAGACAGGGTTTCACCATGTTGGCCAGGCTGGTCTTGAACTCCTGACCTCAGGCGATCCGCCTGCCTCAGCCTCTCAAAGTGCTGAGATTACGGGTGTGAGCCACTGCATCCAGCCCACCAGCTTTTATTTTAAACAAACAAACAAACAGAAAAAGGTGAACGACACAATGGAAAAATGACTAAGGAATGCAAGCCAAATAGACAAATAACAGCTTAATTTCATTAGTAATTAACGAAATATATATTAAGTAGGACACAATTTTTCAACTAAGAAAGGAACAGAGATAGAAAAGAATGACAGCAGACGATGCCGGGTGAGCTGCAAGCTGCAAGGAAACAGAATCCCTGCACAGGGAGCGTCAGTGAAATGTGTACACCCTTTGAATAAGCAATTCCACTTCTAGGAACTTAGCCTATAGAATTGGCAACCATATGCACGTAAGTATGTTCAAAGAAGTACCAGTTTTAAATAAATGTAATTTTCAAATACTCATGATATATGCAGGTATTTTTTAAATGGCATGGAGCCATACTTCTACTATAAAATGATGTACAATGATATTTTAAGTGACCACAAGCAAGTTACAAAACACGTAATCTAATCTTTGTCTAAAAATTAAAATAAGGCCAGACAAGGTGGCTCATGCATGTAATCCCAGCACTCTGGGAGGCCAAGGCAGGTGGATCACCTGAGGTCAGGAGTTTGAGACCAGCCTGGCCATCATGGTGAAACGCTGTCTCTACTAAAAATACAAAAATTAGCTGGGCATGTTGGTGCGCACCTATAATCCCAGCTACTCTGGAGGCTGAGGCAGGAGAATCGCTTGAAGCCAGGAGGTGGAGGTTGCGGTGATCTATCTAACCGGTGCACTCCAGCCTGGGAGACAGAGCTAGACTCCATCTCAAAAAAAAAAAAAAAAAAAAAAAAAAAAAAGAAAGAAGGAAAGAAAGAAAAAGAAAAGAAAAACGCTCATCATCACTGGTCATTAGAGAAATGCAAATCAAAACTACAATGAGATACAATCTCACGTCAGTGAGAATGGCAATTATTAAGTCAGGAAACAACAGATGCTGGCGAGGCTGCGGAGAAACAGGAAGGCTTGTACACTGTTAGTGGGAGCGTAAATTACTTCAACCATTGTGGAAGACACTGTGGCGATTCTTCAAGGATCTAGAACCAGAAATACCATTTTACCCAGCAATCCCATTACTGGGTATATACCCAAAAAATTCTAAATTATTCTACTATAAAGACACATGCACATATATGTTTATTGAAGCACTATTTAGAAGAGGAAAGACTTGGAACCAACCCACATGCCCATCAATGATATACTGGATGAAGAAAATGTGTCACATAAATACCATGGAATACTATGCAGCCATAAAAAAGAATGAAATCCTGTCGTTGGCAGGGATGTGGATGAAGCTGGAAGCCATTGTTCTTAGCAAACTTTTTAGGAACAGATAACCAAACACTGCATGCTCTCACTCATAAGTGAGAGTTGAAAAATGAGAATACATGGACACAGGGAAGGAAATATCACACATAACATACCAGGGCCTGTCGGAGGGTGGGGGATAACGGGAGGAAGGGCATTGGGACAAATACTGAATGCATGCGGGGCTAAAAACCTAGATGATGGGTTGATGGGTGCAGCAAACCACCGTGGCACATGTGTACCTATGTAACAAACCTGCATGTTCTGCACATGTGTCCCAGAAATTAAACTAAATTAAAAAAAAATTAGAGCAAGGACTGCTTTATGTTAGCTTTCTACATTCAGAAAAAGAAAAAGAATGAATGCCTGAGACACACACTGCCTGTGAGCGTCTCCCACACCCACGAGTGCTCCCAAACACTTTGGGCCTTAGTTATGGAAATTATACTCTGCCTGCATCTGTCGCCCTCTACGTCAATGGAGGGGTCAATCTTACTCATTTCTGTCTCCCAAAAAGCATTTCTTGGTATCCTACTCACAGTAGACACAGATACACGCTTACTAAGTTGAATGGCATGAATTAACATCAGGGCACATGCTTTGAGGAGCTCCTTCCAGACTCGCGAACCTACGCCCAGGGCTCACATTTACCTGGGAAGCAAACAGAAGTCAAAGGAGCCAGGTGAGGCCGGAGCACCGGACCCAGGGCCCTTATGGCGCCTTGTGGAGGCTGAAGCTGCTGCTCTGTGGTGCATGCTCATCTGCCATGCGGATTTCAGATTAACCCCAGCTCTGGGAAGGCCTCTAAGCTTCCAGTTCCTTGAGTAAGAGCACATACTTACCTTGAGTCCTGACCTTAGGTCTAAACCTTGATGCTATCATACTTTGATGACCTTACACATTGATTCTGAATCTCGCCTTATCTTCCCCTGTGGAGTATGAGCCCTGGATCTGGGGCTAATGGCACAGGATCCACCATCTTGTCTTGTGGCCGCCAGAGACACAGACATGGCTTCCGTTCCTAAGTGCCAATTAAATGTCTCTTTCTAAGCAGCTGAATCAGTTAGTCTCTTTCTTTCGCCTCTCAGCTCCCTCAGACTTTTGGGAGTAGGCTTGCATAGACCTGCCCACAACAAATCACACCTCCCCCGCCAACCCCAACTAGCTTTGGGGACTTAACAGCTGATGGAGGCTCTTCATTAGTCCCTGCTTTCCTGATTCCTTGATTAAGGACGCAAGCCTTCACCATAAGGCACTAGACACAGGACAAGGGCTTTGGAGTCCACATAATCAGAGTTCAATACCAGCTTCTGTCTCTCTCCTTTTTTTTTTTTTTTTTCTTAAGATAGAGTTTTGCTCCTTGCCCAGTCTAGAGGCAATGACGTGATCTTGGCTTACTGCAGCGTCTGCCTCCCAGGTTCAAACGATTCTCCTGCCTCAACCTCCCAAATAGCTGGGACTATAGGCACATGCATCCTTTCCCAGCTAATTTTTTGTATTTTTAGTAGAGATGAGTTTTCACAGTGTTAACCAGGATGGTCTCAATATCCTGACCTCGTGATCCACCCGACTCGGCCTCCCAAAGTGCTAGGGTGACAGGAGTGAGCCACCACGCCCATTCACCAGCTTTTATCTTAAACAAACAGAAAAAGATGAATGATACAATGGAAAAATGACTAAGGAATGTAACCCAAATAGCCAAAAAATAGGCTTAATTTCATTATTAATTAAGGAAATATATATTTAGCAGGACACAATTTTTCATCTAAGAGATGAACAGAGATAGAAAAGAATGACAGCAGACGATGCCGGGTGAGCTGCAAGCTGCAAGGAAACAGAATCCCTGCACAGGGAGCGTCAGTGAAATGTGTACACCCTTTGAATAAGCAATTCCACTTCTAGGAACTTAGCCTATAGAATTGGCAACCATATGCACATAAGTATGTTCAAAGAAGTACCAGTTTTAAGTAAATATAATTTTCAAATACTCATGATGTAATATATGCAGCTATTTTTTAAATGGCACGGAGGCATATGTTCTAATATGAAATGATATACAATGATATTTTAAGTGACCACAAGCAAGTTACAGAACATGTAGTCTAATCTTTGTTTAAAAAATTAAAATAAGGCTGGAGGAGGTGGCTCATGCCTGTAATCCCAGCACTTTGGGAGGCCGAGGCCAGTGGATCACCTGAGGTCAGGAGTTTGAGACCAGCCCGGCCATCATGGCAAAACCCTGTGTCTACTGAGAAAACAAAAAAATTAGCCAGGCATGGTGGTGGGCGCCTGTAATCCCAGCTACTCAGAGGCTGATTTAGGAGAATTGCTTGAACATAGGAGGCAGAGGTTACAGTGAGCCGAGAATGCATCAATACACTCCAGCCTGGGCAACGAGAGTGAAACTCCATCTCAAAAAATATGTATATTAAGATATATATATCGAACCTGTCGATGCTGCCATTGCCTGAGGGGAGCAGAAGAGGCTGAGACCTGGGAGAAAATGCAGGAGAGTAGTGGGCTCCTTAGCCACAGCTGCTGCCAGAGTTGCCCACCCACCCATTTTCCTGTCCCTCTGCCCCATTCACAATGCAGCTGCTTCTGCAAAGTGGTACGATCAATCTAAGGGACTATGTCGTCATTGAATTTTGTATTGAAGCCACTAAAGCTGTTAATGTATGTTTTGAAAAATCCAAACTTAATTCAGTTGTCTTGGAGGAAGTGATCATTTCAAGCATTTAAATGACATTGGTCTTTTTTACTGTGTTGATCCAAATGATCCCAAGTAAAAGAACGGACAGATGGATTTTATGTTGTTTCTGAAGAATCTGGATGTCATGGCCAAGGTTAACAAAAGAAAGGGCAAAGTTTAACTGGTTTAGTGTGGACTTCAACAGTTGGAAAGACGGAAGATGATTCAGATGAAGGCATGTCTAATTTTGACCACTTCTCTGGTCAAGATGATGAACAGCATGGGTGGTGGTGTTGACGAAGAGTTACCAGAAGTAGATGGAGCAGATGATGACTCACAAGGCAGTGATGATGAGAAAATGCTAGATCTAAAGCATATTGTCATCACTTGGAATTTGATAAAGAAAAATAACTGCTCTGCAAGATATCAGAATTGACAGAATCCCTGAATCGATAGCTCTGAAGGCATGCTGTATTTGCCCACTGTAACCCATTTTTCAACCTGTTTGTTTTTGAAAAGGCTTCATTGTGGGTTGATATGTACCATTGCATGGGGCAATTTTAAATTAGCTAAGGCAATAACCTGATGCATGAACACTTCCCAGGTTTCCAGGAAGCTGTTGAAATCTTAGGTAATTGATGCAGCAGTTGGGATAAATCTCACCTAAGTCTCCTTTTCTTCATAACATAGATACTGACGTGATAGGAAGCTCTCAGCTTAGGGAAAGAGAACTAAATTTTAGATTACAGAACATGAATTCAGAAGTGGCTGGAACAAATTGGCTCACACCTTACTGGTACCTGCTATTCCTCTGGTGTCACCCTTCAGGATTTTCACTAAAGTTTATTTTTCAAAAAATTTACTTTCACCTGATTTTATGTAAGTGATCCCTTGTCAGTGTTTCAGATGTATTTTAGCTGAAACTAGTGAATGCCCTGACTTGGACCCTTTTTAAAAAATTATAAATTTGGGCCAGGTGAGGTGGGTTGCACCTGTAATCCCAGCACTTGGGGAGGCTGAGGCAGGCGGATCACCTGAAGTTAGGAGTTCATGGCCAGCCTGGCCAAAATGGCAAAACCCTGTCTCTACTGAAAGTATAAAAATTAGCTGGGCATAGTGGTGTGCGTGCTTGTAATTCCAGCTACTCAGGAGGCTGAGGCAGGAGAACTGCTTGAAGCCAGGAGACGGAGGTTGCAGTAAGTGGAGATCGCGCCATTGCACTCCAGTCTGGGCAACAAGAGGGAGACTCCAACTCAAAAAAAAAAAAAAAAGTGTACGTTTGGACCCAGGCTCAGTGGTTCATACCTGTAATCCCAGCACTTTGGGAGGCCAAGGCAGGTGGATCACTTGAGGTCAGGAGTTGGAGAGCTGCCTGGCCAACATGGGGAAACCCCACCTCTACTAAAAGTACAAAAATTAGCTGGGTGTAGTGGTGGGTGCCTGTAATCCCAGCTACTCGGGAGGCGAAGGTTGCAGGGAGCTGAAATCGCATCATTGCACTCCAGCCTGGGTAACAGAGCAAGACTATCTAGAAAAGGAAAAAAGAAAATTATGCATTTGGTATTGTTTGACCCTTAGGCTTTTACATCTCGTGGCATAGAGGATGAAGAAAGCTATGGATTGTTGTTTAAGAGTGTATGTATTTAGACCAGGTTTGTATTTGCACTGTCAGTATGGCAAATGAGTGAAAAAATTAATACACTATTGGATTTTTTATTTCTTTTCTTGATTCCGCTTATGCCAGACCTGAAAACCTCAAGTTAAGTTCATGACCCTGGGGATGTTTTTTTAAAATATCTACATTCTTTCTAATAAACTGTTGGAAGACTTAAGAAAAAATAAGATACATATCCACAGGCATATTCATAGGAAAATTATAGAGAAACAGAAACAGAAATAGAAGCTCTTTCTGGGGATACTTTTACTCTGTTTTTAAATTTGTTAGTAAGCATGCATCCTGCATATCATCTTCTTATTAAAATAAAAGCAATCTGGCCAGGTGTAGTGGTTCATGCCTGTAAACCCAGCACTTTGGTAGGCCGAGTCGGGCTGATCACGAGATCAGGAGCTCGAGACCAGCCTGACCAACATGGCAAAACCCCGTCTCTACTAAAAATACAAAAACTAGCTGGGTGTGATGACGCGCACCTGTAATCCCAGCCACTCGGGAGGCTGAGGCAGGAGAATCGCTTGAACCCCAGGAGGTGGCGGTTGCAGTGAGCCAAGGTCACACCACAGCACTCCAGTCTGGGCAACAGAGTGAGATCCCATCGCAAACAAAAATAAATAAATAAATAAAATAATAAAATAAAAGCAATCAAAACTTTAACAAGAAATGGGCATGTGGGGTAGGTCCCTTCTAAAACACGTGTGGGTGCCGGGAACTGCACAGCCCACTGGCCACACCTGACCCCACACGCCTACCCAGGCCACCGCTCAGCAACTAGAAGGAAGGTGGCTCACTACGGACACTGAAGGCTTTGGTGAAGACATGAGAGAACTATGAGTGGGAATAGCTCTGCAAAAAACAAAAACAAAACAAAACAAATAAACAAAGAAAACGGGTGCAATGGTCAGACCAGATTGTATCATCTCTCATGAGACCAAAAACCTCACAAAAAAACTGAGAGCACTTTGAAGACAACAGTTGTCTTCTTACATCCTGGTTAGAGAAGTCAGCAGAAACTGCAGCTGATGGCAGAAAAACTCAGACCGTCTGCGCCTACAGACAGCGCATTGCCTCAACTTTGGGAGAGGGATGGGAATGGAAAACACAATAACAAGAGAATCAAAAGATGGGAAAGTAGTGGGGGACTGTCAGGAACAATGTCACCTGGACTCAGATCTATGAAAAATGGAATAAAAATTCCACCGTCACCTCGGACGGGAATTAGCTAGCAAACAAGCTGAGTTCAACGAGCACATCTCCATACCGCTGTTTATTGATTTTTTTGCTCATTACTGTGTTCAATTATCTTTATCACTAACATTTACATGCAACTATTTCGAACTGTTGGTTTGGTTAGGTTAGAATCATCCCTTTGGTTAATAAATGTGTTCACGCTAAGAACAAAAATAAATATAAAACAAACAAAACAAAGAATGCAGTCTGCTTCCTTGACCAACTATTGGGCCTCAGGGCAAGTTTTTTACTTCCCTGAAAGTCTGCCAGATGGTGGGAGGCATGTGACCATCACTCCAGCTGACGTTAAACCAACTTCCAGACATGCATGGGTCCTCTGGTCCACCCAGCCTGAATTCCAGACATGTGACTGAGGCCATCCTCTACTACCCAGCCTTGCTCAGCAAGCCCAGACTGGAAGGGCTCCACTGGCCCGTAGACTTCCAAGCTTGTTTTTTAAAGCTTTGAACTGTCTTGTCATGCAGCAAAAGCCAACATATATGTGCAGACCAGAGAGCAAGGCTGACATTGGTTGGCTGCTGGGTAAAGTGGATGGGGTCAGGGGCAGGAATCACAGGGAAATTTTTTCTCTGCATTTTACTTTTCTTGTACCTTTTGAATTTTGAACTCTATGAATTAACCTGTTCTAAAAAAACCACAAAATTGTAAAATATTACAGTCATAAAACATGACTGATGGGGAAGATAGTTTTCATCCATAAAGTGTAGATTTTGCTGTTACTTCAAAAATACAGTAAGTTATCATTTAAGGTCACTGATATGTTCTTGGGAACTGCAACTTTAAATGAAATGACGTATAACAAAACCAATTTGACCGTAGGCTAATTGACAAAAACAAGAGTTAAGTTCCTACAGCACATTTCTGGTCATAAAAGCATCACCAAACTTCTAGATAAAGACCCAAACACTCCCAATATATTAAACATTGAAATAAATGTGAACTACACGTACATCTGTGAAAGGTTAGTAAACACAAATAAGATTATGAGTCACCCAATTGTTCCAGTTGAGGGTCACAGGTCACAGGTGGCCACAGTCAGGGCATAAGGTGGGATCCAACCCCAGGCAGGACATCATCCTGTCGCAGGGCACACATTCACACACACACACTCACACACACACACACACAGAGAGTCTCTCTGTCTCTCTCTCACACACACACAGTCTCTCTCTCTCACACACACACACACACACAGAGTCTCTCTGTCTCTCTCACACACACACACAGTCTGTCTCTCTCTCTCACACACACACAATTTTCCCTCCCACACACATATATTCTCACAAGTACACACTCACACACATACACACTCACATACTCTGACACACTCTCTCACATACACACTCACACACACTCTCACACAAACACACACAGACTCCCACACCCACACACACTCATACACTATCTCTCTCTCACACACACACACACATGCACTATCATGCCCACACTCACACCCTCAATCTCCTTCACACACACTCTTATCTACACATGCACCCACACTCACTCACATGCTCACTCTCACCCCCACAGCCTCACACACACACACACTCACATACCCACACTCATACATGCACAGTCACGTACCCACTCACACCCCACACTTACCCACAGCCACACCCTCACACACACACGCACACCCCACACGCACACACCCACGCTCACACATCCATACTCAAACTGGGACAGTTTAAACACAATTTCGACAATTTAGATGTGCAGTTTACATCTTTGCACACCTTTGGGATGAGGGAGAAGTCGGGGGACCTGGAGAAAACCCTCACAGACATGAGGAGAACGTGCAAACTTCACTCAGAAAGTGGCCCCGCTGGGAACCGATTTTTCCTCTCAGCAGTGTTGTAATGAAATGGCAGTAATTGAGCACCTGCTGTAACTGGACTGGAAACAAACATGCATGGCTTTTCATTTTGTTTCCCTTTCTCAGATGTATCTAAGGCCTTTGTCCTCAACACAGCAGAGGCCTCCGCGTGCTGTCTGGTGTTGGAGACAACAGCCCAGGCTGCAGTGGCTTGATGTGAGTTTTTCCGGCAGTTTCTGAGCCTGTGACACTACGCAGTATTGTTCCCTTCACATCTTGCCAAAGTTCTTACTCTGAGGTCCTCTTTCTTTCCATTGTAGTGTTCTACCTCCTTACCAGGAAAGACGAGGAGAGCACTGGGATCTGAGCTCTACTGGCTGCATCTGCTTAAACTTGAATTGGCTCAGAAAATAGGAGGAGGCGGCCGGGCGCGGTGGCTCATGCCTGTAATCCCAGCACTTTGGGAGGCCGAGGCGGGTGGATCACGAGGTCAAGAGATCGAGACCATCCTGGTCAACATGGTGAAACCCCGTCTCTACCAAAAATACAAAAAATTAGCTGGGCATGGTGGTGCGTGCCTGTAATCCCAGCTACTCAGGAGGCTGAGGCAGGAGAATTGCCTGAACCCAGGAGGCGAAGGTTGCGGTGAGCCGAGATCGTGCCATTGCACTCCAACCTGGGTAACATGAGTGAAACTCCGTCTCAAAAAAAAAAAAAAAAAATAGGAGGAGGCTGGGTGCCGTGGCTCACGCCTGTGATCCCAGGACTTTGGGAGGCCAAGGTGGGAGGATTGCTTGAGCTCGGGAGTTTGAGATCAGTCTGAGCAACATACTGAAACCCCATCACTACTAAAAATTAAAATAAATTAGCCACGTGTGTTGGCATGTGCCTGTAGTCCCAGCTACTCGGGAGCCTGGGATGGGAGGATCTCCTGAGTCTGAGAGGTTGAGGCCGCAGAGAGCCATGATCACACCACTGCCCTCTAGCCTGGGCAACAGAGTGAGACCTTGTCTCAAAAAGAAAAAGAACAAGAAAAAACAAGGATTTGTTACCTTGCTCAATTCAGGGAGAGGTTGAACAATCTAAGCATGGGAAAGGAATGGTGTAATCATGGGAAAGGGGACGGATGTGGCCTTGGGAACAATTGGATCCAGGGACTTGAATGCTGCCAGGTTCTCTC